TCTCAGAGACAGTTCCCTGTGTCTCATTTCAATGTCAAACCACCATATTGTGCCTTTCTGATCCAAATGAGACAAGGTTGAATCCAAAAAAATGAAACTTAATATGGAGAAAAGTAAGATTTTACACTGGTCAGGAAAAGCAGATTACATGAAACCTGCTGTCAGGGTTCCAACCAATGCCCTAATTAAATAATGAGCCTCGAGACAAGCTTCAAAACAAATCCAGTTATTAGGAGGTTCATGTCAGCACATTCCAAGTGAAGCCAACTCTGACCCCCATAATTTGCATTCCGACTCTGGTTCCCCCCTCTCCCCAAGGTGTGTCATCAGTCACATTCTCCAATGAAGCAATTTCATGGGCTGTAGAGATCACTCCCCTCCGGCCACTGTGAGTAACCGTGGAGACGACCTTCACAAACATATGGCTGCAATTTGCTTTTGCTTTGAGTGACATGCTGTCTCGTGGCAGCTGCAGTGTTCATTTTCCATCCCCCTTGTCTATGGCAACTCGAGAGCAGGCCAGGGATGCTTTGCAAGTTGACAGCTGGCTCAAAATAGCAACTTTGAGAGGGACCTTGGGAGTCCGAATGGATGATCACTAAATCATGAGTCACATGTGTGACTCTGAATTTTGGATGCTCAGCAGAAGGTGGAATGTGTGCTCTGTCCCACACAAGAGGGAACTGCCATTTTCTGGGGGTTCAGAGGGGAGGAAGGAGAAGCTGCTTGTACCAGGTGGATGTCATGAACCACAAAGAATCCAGTTGATCAAGATTGGGAGAGGGGGCAGAAGGTGAGGGAAATGGACAAACCTTGAGGTTAGCTGAGGAAGATGGGATTTGTGGTCCTGGGGCAGACATTTGAAAAAAGATGTAGTCCACAGAAGAGAATATCTGGAGGTTGGGTTAAACTCGGGTTGTTGGGGCCTTCGTTTGCTTGGAGACGTTTCATTACCCAGCTAGGTAACATCCTCAGTACAAAAGAGAGAGGGGATTGGCTGCCTGTTTAGATGCCCTGCCAGAGATTGTGTGGTTCCCTCCTGGATGGTTCCTTGATTGGAGGATTGTTTTCTGCCTGTTTGTTTGTCTGGTGCTGATCCCTGTTTATCTATTGGCTGTTGGAGGGAAAGTGTCTCTTTTTCATCTCCTTCCTAGGATTTTTGTGTGTGTGTGTGCAAATGTGAGTTATCTGTCTGCATCTACTGAAAACCAGAGATTGACCTTTTAGGATTACTAGATGAAGAACTTGAAATAAAAATTGGAACTTTATTACTGTACAAGCTAGTACAAGTAGTATTCTTAATATATAAAACTGGAAATATACCTCCATCCCCAAGATTGAAGGTGGATGGATGGAAGAAATGAGGGAGTGGGCTGAGAGGGCGAGATGAGCTGTTTGGACCAGAGAAAAGAAAAGATCCAGCTGTGTTTCTACCTGGAAACCACGTCTGGACTTTGTGCTTGAGGCAGAAGGAAGGGAAACCTTCTCTATAGGATTTGCTGATTAGGATTGCTTGTTATAGAAATGTACCAAATTTACTAAGAATGAACAGTAGAGGGAAGAATTGAGGGTGAAATTTCATTTTGCATTCTGCTTCCTTGAAAATAAACTTTCCCCTTTTTTTCTACACTTCCATTTCTCTTTCCCATTTCCCTAGGACCTTTATTTTCTATTTCATGCTATGGGAATCTTCCATATAAAAGATAAGCAAAAGGACCCTTTTGTTTTAGGGCCGCTTCCTGTTCCGCAGCCGAAATATCCAAATTCCTGGGGAAAAAGCTCATCCGGATTCCACAATATATCCGCACTTTTCTACTGGCAAAATTTCTTCCGAAACGTTACTTGATGTTTTTCTCTGCCGAGAGACAGAAATACCTGGCAATGATGGCAAAGAGGTGGAAGTCTCCGAGGAAAGGAGTTCAAAACGGAGGTGAAACGGCCCGACTGGATTCCGGGATCTTCCCTCGGGGCCCTGGGTGTGCAAGGAAAAGGGGGACCCGGATTCCTGACCCGCAGAAAGAGGGCGGGTCCTGGTCATGAGGGGTCGAGGAGGGGGAATCGGAAGAAGCGGGTTTCATCCAGACGTTCCGAGCCAGGGAGACGCGCGTTTCAAGGATGGAAATCGCCTTTTTCTCCCGTGAACCGAAGCGGCTCCTTTCCCGAAAGAGCCGAGCGGAGGATTCCCCCGGGAAAGGGGGGGGGGGGCGCTGGGCTAGGAGGGATCCCTGCAGATCTTCTCCGGCTCTTCCTGGTTCAGCTGAGGGTTTTTGGAGGCTTCCCTTCGGATTGGAGGGTGTCTGTGACCCCCAAGTCTTCCCTGCCATGGGGGGACCCTCCCCCTTCTCCAGCCCAGAAGCTCTTCCCACGGCAGGAATCTCCACATGCGAAGTGAAGGGGGAGGGAGGGGATGTCCCGGCCAGATGCTTCCAGCCCCATAGGAGGAATCGGGACTCTGAATTGAGGCGAGGAAGCGCTTTTATTTGACGTGGGAGGGGCCAGAACGAGCGGCAGCACCAATGGGAATTCTCCCTGCTTGAGCGTCATCCGTCTCCGGGCAGAGTCCTTTGTGACTTCAGCTGAAGGAGGAGGGAGAGTTCAGCGCAGAGAGCGAAAGTGAAAGTGGGAGGGGGATCCCTTCAGTCTTGGGGGGCTTGGGGTTCATGGCAGCCCCAGAAGGGACCCTCCACTTTCTTTGCTCTCCTCCCGATTCTCTGCCAGGGATTCCCGCTTCCCTCCCCTCTTATCTCCCCACATTTAGATCAACAACAGCCCTTCTTGAACCAAACACCAACCTTCCATTTGCGGTGGGTCAGAAAACCCCTCAGCGCCGGGCTGCTACCGGTCCTCCGGCAGCCCCTTTGCCAGGAAGGGAACCAAAGGCAGAAGATTCGGGGGGGGGGGGGGGAGGGCAGTGACCCAAATCCCAAAACACCCAGAGCAGCCCTTGAACCTCCCGCTTGTATCCTTACGATTTATATGGACTGTTTCCTAGTATGATTTGATTGCTTATTGTACCGTTTGACTATCATTATGATTCTTGACTCTTGACGGATGTATCTTTTCTTTTATGAACACTGAGAGCTTGTGCACCAAATACAAATTCCTTGTGTGTCCAATCACACGTGGCCAATAAAGAATTCAATTCTATCCTATCTTATCCTATTCTATATCCTATTCTGTTCTCTTCTCTTCTGTATTCCATATACTCTGGGTGATGGGAAACTCCACTTGCGACCCTTCCTGGAGGAGAAGAGCGACTGGAGTCCCCATCCTGCCCTGGAGATCTTCTCCCTCGCTCGCTTGGGATCCCAGAAGCAGATCCCGGAGTGGGGCAGCCTCTCCAGGGATCGCCCCTCAGCTGACAGAAGCCCGGAGAAGGTGGATCCCCCTGGGAGGGGAAATGGGATCGTCCGAAGCCTCCGAGGGGGATCCGACCTGGAAGGGATCAGGGGGGATTTCCTGGCCGGGAGAACCTTTGGATCAATGGAGCAGCCCCCCCCCCACCTGGAATTGGGGGGCTCCGTCCCTGGAGGTTTTCCAGGAGAGGCTGGATGGCCGTTTGTCCGGGCTGGGATAAGGGCTCCTCCTGCCTCGGCCAGGGGGTCGGACTAGAAGACCTCTAAGGTCCCTTTCAGACTCTGTGCCTCCCTCTCCCAATCGGCCCTCCTCCCACCGAAGGCCTCCGCCCCCCCAGCCCCTCCTGCATGGAGCCGGCAGGAAAGACCCCCTAGATTAACGCAGCCTCCCAAGACTGCAAGGATCCCCCTCCCACTTTCTCTGCTTCTCTTTCTGCGCCGAACTATCTCCTGCATCGGCTGAAGTCAAGGAGACTCTGCCCGGAGACCGATGACGCTGCAAGAAGGGAGGATTCTCATTGGTCCTCCTGCTCTTTCTTGACCTCCCAGTTCCGAAGTGAGGGGAAAACTCCGCCTTCCCCAGTTCAGACCTTCCGATTCCTCCTGGGGGGCCGGGAGCCTCCGCGTCCTTCTCGCCTCTCTTTGGGGGCGCTTGTGGGGCGGCATCCATGGCTTTGGCTGGGCTCCCCCTGGTGCTGCTGGTGGGGACGCTGGGCCGGATCCCCGGGAGCGAAGGGGAGAAGGAGACCCCCGGTAAGGAGGGGGCTGGGCGGGGGAGGAGGGGGTGGGACGGATCCCGGAGGGGAAAGGAAGCTGATGAGTCTCCAGAACTCCAATCTCTGCGTGGTCTCCTTCCTCTTCCCTACCCGTATTGCCCCCCCCCCCCCCCCAGGCCGGCGGGGGACCCCCCCCTCGTTCTCCGATTGTAGCCGAGGTGGGGGTCGCAGACGGGCCCCTCTCTGACCACCCCCATTGTCTGGGTCGGAGTGGGCTGCCTGGAAAGAGGCAGGGAAGGAAATGCGAAAGCGAAAGCGAAAGAGGGAAACTGAGGCATTTTCAGCCCTGAAGCCACGAAGGAAAAAGAGCCAAAGAATTTTGGCTTCTGCAGAAACTTCGCTTTTTCTTCTGAATCTCACATTTGAGGCTTTGGAGGTCAGGCAAGAGGGGAGCTTCGGTCCCTTCTGGGGGAGGCTCTGAATTTGGGGAGGGGACCAAGAACCCCCCACCCCATAATCCCCCACTGGCTCTATTGGGACCTGGAGGGGGAGGGGGGAACGGAGGGAGGGGGGGCTCTGAGTTGCTCCTCTGAAAGTGGCTCCCCGTTAGTGAGGGGGGGCTGGAGACCCTTTGAGAGGCTTTTGGGGGGGCTGCAGGGGGTCTTTTTTGGGGGGTGGAAAGGAAACAGGTGGGGATCCCCGACAGTCACCCAAAGGGAGGGAAATGGGCTGAAGATTTGGGGAAGAAAAAAAGTTGGGGGGGGGAATCCAGGGAAGGGGGGGTGAAGGGCCGGGAGACTTCAGAAGTGGGAGTCTAGATGTCCTTCTGGTGCCCCTCCCCTCATTCCCCACCCCCCAAAGGAAGAGAGAGCAGGAGGTGAGGATATTACCTTCCCTCCAGGCCTCCTCCCACCATTCCTCCCCCTGGAGATCCAAGGTTCCCTGCAGAGAGAAGATCTGGTGGAGCTTCTGCCTGCCCCCCCCCGGAATGGATGGAGGGAGGTCTCTTAAGGAGGCTCATCCCCTCCCCCTCTTTCTTCCCTCCCCCCTCCAGTCCCCCCCAGTCTGCCTCCCCCTCAGAGTGAGAGAGTCCCCCCTCCCTTCTCCAGGGGCGTCTCCCATCAGTCTCTCAAAGGAAGGTCCCCCCCACCATCCCTTCTTCCTGGTGGGACCCTCCTCCTCCTCCTCTACTGGCGGCTGGGAGCGATGGGCCCTGGTGTCCCTCCTGATGGCCTTCCTCCTCCTCCTCCTCCTCCTCCTCCTGGCAGCCCATTTCCTGCACCAGACGAAGCACGAGTGCCTCTTCCTCAATGGGACGCAGCGAGTGCGGTACCTGCACCGCGACTTCTATGACCGCCAGGAGATCGACTACTTCGACAGCGACCTCGGGAAGTTCGTGGCTGTCACTCCGTTGGGGCAGCCCGATGTGGAAAAGTGGAACAGAGACAAGCAGATCCTGCAGGACCAGAAGGCCGCTGTGGATTTCTTCTGCCGACAAAACTATGAGAGGGGCAGCTATGAGGCGGCCAAGAGGGAGGAGCGCCTGATCGGCCGGAAAAGTGAGTCCTGGGGGGGGAGGTATCTTCTTCCCTGGGAGGGGGAGGTCGGTACCCCCCTTTCCTTTCCTGGCATCCACTGGGGATTCTCCTCCCGGGTGACTGTTCTGCCTCCTTCTTCTTCCTTCTGCCCTCTCAGAGCTCCGGAATCTCCCTCTTCTCTCCAGGGTCCGAACTCTCCTCCTGTCCGGGATCTGGGATCCCTTAGATCCCCCCCGGAAATCCCCCCAAATATATGGTTTTCTTCTTTGGGGGGGAGGGGAATCCAGCCAGGTGTCTCTCTCTCTCTCTCCCTCCCTACTTCTCAATACAGGGAGTCCTCCACTTACAACAGTTCACTTAGTGACCATTGAAAGAAAGAAGTGAAAACAGTCACTTCTGACCCTTTTTCACCCTTACAACCGTTGCAGCCTCCCAGGATGCCCTGAGCCAAATCTAGGTGTTTGGCCACTGACTCATACTTGTGACAGTCGCAGCATCCCGGGGTCCCTTTGATCCCCTTTTATGACCTTCCATAGGGAAACAGGGTTCACTTAACAACCATGTTACTCATTTAACAACTGCAGTGATTCACGTAATGTCTGTAGCAAGGAAGGTTGCAAGATGGGGCAAAATTCATGGAACAAACACCTCACTTAGCAACAGAGATTCTGGGCTCAATCGTGATCGTAAGTCGAGGATTGCCTGGATATTCATCTCATTTCTTTCTCTCCCTGATTCCTTTTTATCCTCTTCAGGAACCGCCTGTTTCCCTTCCTCTTTCCATCCAGAAGCCCCTCCCTCTCCCTCAGAAAGTTTTTTATTTTTTAATCATTTCAATACTTCTTTGGGAGGACAGTGTGGTTCCAGGTGTTTTACACTTTAAATCAATGCTGTCCATAATCACAAATACAACTTTCTAAGATCACATCATTATCTATTGTCATATTTTTTTCTTCAAATTCTCATAAATTACTTCTTATCAGCCTTTTTATTTTTGTTCATTTTCTATCTTCCTCAGTCATATATTCAACATGTTTACAGTTCAATCTATTGATATCATTTCATTTATCATTCAAAGTTTCCTCTTAATTTATAGCTATCCCAAAATACATTTTCCATCTTATTTTCTTTTACCCAATATTGTCAGATTTACAGCAACATATCCTTATTACCTTGTTTAAAAGAATATAACAGATATAACAGAATATTTAATTCATTAAAAATTTATCTTCCTTTATCCTATTTTCAACATGTTTACACTTCTAATTTTTAGAGAAATACATTTTCTATCTTATTTTTTTTTACCCAATATTGTCAGATTTACAGCAATATATCCTCATTACCTTATACAAATATAACAGATATAACAGAATATTTAATTCATTAATTAATTAAAAATTTCTCTATCTTCCTTAATCCTATTTTCAACATGTTTACACTTCTTATTTTTACATAAATACATTTTCCATCTTATTATCTTTTAGCCAATATTGTCAAACTTATAGCAATATATCTTCATTACCTTATAAAAGCAGATAATAAAATATTTCATGAAAGATACTAAACATTCTTGTGCTCAGCATGTTTGCAGTTTCATACCATTCATTAAGCATTCAAAATTTCATCTTAATTTATATTATCTCCTATTATGTCCCCCCATTATTACACTTGCCACTGTTGCATATATTTTATTTTCTATATATTCCCTTCCCTCTAACATCTCATTTTTACTCAAATAACTTTTCTTTTAGCCAATAATACCAAACTTGTAACATTATAACCTCGTTACCATATAAATTCTCACCTTATTGATCTAGCTTATGCTAATATAATATCAATTATTAAACATTCATTTGACTATTTTTCCATCATTTTATATGAGATATTCTAATTTTCTTTATGATTTAATCTTATACATCCATCCAACGGTTATGTATTTTATATTGTATTCTATATCAATCTACTGACTTTTATTGTAAGGCTTACTAATCTATTTCTTTACCATGTCTTTTTATCTAACCATTGATAAAATAAATCCCACATCATATAAAATTGTTTATCCTCTCGTTCTCTAATTTCAAATGTCAATTTACTCATTTCAGCACAGTCCATGAATTTCTTAATAATTTCCTCCTGCATAGGTATTTTTTCATTTTTCCAATTCTTAGCAAATACAATTTTAGCCGCTGTTAAAACATTGACAATCAAATATTTCAATTCTTTACAATATATTTCCGGTATAATTCCCAATAAAAATATCTCAGGTTTAAAGTCTATACGTTGTTTTGTCATTTTTTCCAACCATGTGTGGATTAGTCCAATATATTTTTGCATCCGAGCATGTCCACCACATGTGGTAATATGAACCAGGTATCTGATGACATTACCAACATTTATCCGATTTATTCTTGAACATCCTGGCAATTCTCGTCCGGATAAGTGCCACCTGTAAAACATCTGATACAAATTTTCTTTATATGCAGTTGACATTGTCATTTTATACTTTTGAGACCACAATTTTTGCCATTTATCTAAGTCAATCCCATATCCGAATTTTTTCCCCCACGCAATCATTGTTTCTTTTACTTCTTCTTCCTCTAATTTAAACTCTAGCAAATGTCCATAAAGTTTTTTGATTACTTTTTCATCAGTACCTGTCAAAATTTTATCTAAATCAGTCAACTTATCATAGATACCTTCTGTTTTAACATCTTTATCAAATCTAGATTGTATTTGCAAATATGAAAACCAATTCATTTTTACACCTTGTTCTTCCAACACTTGCAAAGATTTAAGTTCACCCTTTTCATTCAATATCTTACCATATGTAACTGTTTCTTCCTTTTTATATATTATTGGATAGGAAAAAGCTTCAATAGTACATAACCATCATGGAATTTTTAAATAATATTGCTTTTTTATCTGCTCCCAGTTTAGAAACAATGCTTCTCAAATATAATCTCTTCTAAAATACCCCTGTGTTTTAATTCCCTTATACCAGAGGAAGGCATGCCACCCTAACAGCAAGTCATGTCCTTCTAAATTCAAAAGTCTAGTATTCCTTAATGTTATCCACTCCTTTACCCACATCAGACTCGTCGCTTGGTAGTATAATTCCCAATTGGGCAAAGCAAATCCTCCTTATTCTTGCATTTTGTAGCAATTTAAGTTTTATTCTCACTTACTTCCCCTGCTAAATGTACTGTATTTAAGCTCTTTTTTATTTAAATCTTCAAAAATTTATTTCCCTAATCTAATTGGAATTGTCTGGAATAAGTATAAGATTCTAGGCAATACATTCATCTTAATTGTGGATATTCTCCCAATCTGTGATAATTGTAATTTTTCCCATTTTATCAAGTCTGTCGCATTCCGTTGTTTAAGTTTGAAATAATTGTCCTCAAGTGTGCTACATCTTGGTGTTATATGTATCCCTAAATACTTAACCTTGTTTGTGACCTGGATCCCCAAAACTTCCAATTCTTTCTTTTGTCTTACTAACATGTTCTTTGCTAAAATCTTTGTTTTATCTTTATTTATTTTCAAACCTGCTACTTTCTCATACTCTTCTATCTTTTCTATCAGTTTAGGTGCAGACTCCAATGGATCCTCTAATATAAATACCAGGTCTTTTTTCCACTTCTATTGTCTCTAAATCTTTCTTTTATATTAATTCATTATTTCTTTGCTTGTTTATCTCTCATCCTTTGGCTTTTTCCCTTAATGCTTCCTCCATTTACCATCATTTTCTTATATTTTCTCTCCCATTTCTCAAAGTTTCCCCCCTCCCTCTTAGATCTCCACTCTGTATCTCCGTAACCATTTCATTTATCAGCATTCCAGTCTCAATATCCCCCCTCTTATTCATTATATTCATCATTAATATCTCATATTCAGCTTCTTTTTTCTTTTTGTGTTATTTGTTGTTCCTTTTGATCCATTTCACTGATTTCTCTTTCTTCTAACTCCTCCCCCGTCTTTGTCCTTTCTTCTTCCTCCTCCTCCTCCTTTTCCTCCTCCTCCTTTTCTTCTTCTTCTTCTTCTTCTTCTTCTTCTTCTTCTTCTTCTTCTT